CTCAAAGGGGTCATAATGATGTACTTTCCATGAAAAGCGGGATTTAGCATAATTGCCTCCAAGGCATTAAACATGGTCTTTTAATAAACTGAAGCTGAGGATGGGAGAAAAAGGAGCAGGGGGTGAAAGTAAATTAGAAGAACTGAAGAAGTTAGTGTCAGCCTCAAAGAGAGTGTGGATGTTAGAAAAGAAGGGAGCTGGAAAATGGATTTAACACTTGCCTTTTGTAAGCACAGCAAAGTGGGGGAGTCTTTAAACATCTGTAAAAATGTGCTGAGCAACTTAACAGGCAGAGACAAAGGCAGTCACACCAAAAAAACAACCGCATGGTAAGAGGGGGATGTGCTGACACAGCAAAGGGTGTGCAGCAGGTTCTGCTGAGAGAATATTCTAGATTAGAGGATCGCGCAGACCATAATTACAGCTGCTCAAGTGGACACCAATCCCCAAAAAAGACTAGTCGTGGAAAACTGCCAGTGTAGTGTGTAGCACCAGAAAGAGGCGATGTGACTGCTGTCATGTCTGGATAAACAATATGAAAAGCTTGGTGGTGCGCACAGAAACTCAAGGAATTATATTTATAATATATTTGTATTTGTTCAATGCAAATTTCATGATAATCCACTCAGTGGCGGTCAACACATATCACTAAAACATAAAATAACGTAACCCCCCAAACCCTTTGGGTCTTTATAAAAAGTGACAGGAATCAATTTATAGTCACTAAAATAATATTTTAGTCTGGACCAAAGGTACCGAGCAGCGCTGCCATCCCCATAGATCTTCTCTGCTAACATGGCTAAAATAGGCTCCTGCCATTAAGGAGAGACATAACACATCTACTTCTACCTCACTTAAAAAACATTCATCTACAAAATATCTGTTAAAACAGACGCTAATGCTCAACCTGATGCCACCTCCAACTGTTTACTGTTGGACAAAAATGTCTGCTCTATTCATCTCCCACGTAGCGGGGTGGAGGTTGACAAAAACAAACAATCTTTACACAAGCTGCTGCTCAGGCTCTTGGCACAGACACAAGATTCTTCTCCAGACAACTTTGAGATGTGTTTTTTTTTCACTGTTGTCCAGATTAGATTCAACATTAGATTCCAAAAGTTGGACAACCAGACTTGTTTATGCTTTTTGACATTTGGTCACGTTTGGGTTCCAAATGTGACCAAATGTATCTACTTACGTAAAAGTGAAGACAAACTTCTGAAGCACTGGAGATAAGTCAGAAAGAAGACAGAGCGTCAGTGTTAGGCTGCTGGAGCTGCAGTGAATGGGGCAGATGAGGTGAATAAGCCTGTGTCCTGCTGCTGAGCAGAGAGTAGCAAGACACATGGAGTAATTATTGGTGAAATGGAGAGAAGAGACAGATGGTGTAGAACAGGCCAGCGGTCAGTACAGTCGTCCTGTTAGCCAAGACGTAAAAAGACCTCTGTGGGCAGCCAGAGGGACATATGGAGAGTTGTGTTTGCATGTGCGCAAGTGTATGTGCGCGCGTGTGTGTACTCTGTTTGCATGTTTATTTGTGTGAGCACGTGGATTTCGGACAAAGTTTATGCAAGGTCTGTGTGCGCGGAGGGCAGAATGTTTAAGCATGCGCAAGTGTGTGTAAAGGCTTTGAAGGCTGCTGTAGGTGTTTTAGTGGGTATTTACAGCCAAAGTTAGACGAGACACTTGGATTTATGGGTATAAAATCAACAATTCAGCCTGGTATTATTTGTAGAGCAAAGGGTTTATGTTTAGGGAACAATTAAATAGTTATAAAAACACGCAGTTTGAAAAAAAAGTGAGATCTTTCACTTTTCTTAGTCATTATTGTATACATACTGGATCATTATTCCGGCGTTCCAAAAACCCGAGACATGTTTTAGTTGTGTTTCTCTGTATGTTTATTTAAATGCGCAATTGTGGAGAGGTGACATGTGTTCCCTGAGCCTGGGATCCCCACCAGGTGTGCTGTTTTCCTCCCACATTCAAATAATATGCATGTTAGGTTAACTGGTAATTCTAAATTGGCCTGCATGTTTGCCCTGACTAGCATGAACCAAATAAAAAAGGAGGAGGGGGTCAAAGTATATTAACCACCTGGGAGAGCCTCCAAAACCTCTAAAACCTCTGCTCTCATAGTTACAGAAGCTGTTAAGTAAGTGTATGGCTGAAAAAAGTCATAATTACTAATGAATTCAGTAAGTGTGAGCTCTTAGTTCTTGTAAACATGTCACCTGGCATTCGCAGATGCTGCTGCACACAGTTTTCACTGGATGATTCTTAATTGTATGAGATTAGAAACCATGTAAGGGAAGGTTTTAAGTAGAGAGACACACAAGATGAGGATGACGGTAATCTTGTTGTCTGGATCTGACATTAATAACATACTTTCTAGGACTATTTTAAAAGTCTGTGCTGAGACCAACTCAGCCAGTGGGGAAGACAGCCCTGGTGGACAGCCAGGCTTGGCTAATACCACTATGGACCTGTCATGCCAAGTGTGGTTATACTAATGACAGCGGTTGTGGTTAACCTCTACTACAGGGGGGTTGGAACAGCAATCCAGGCATGGGGCTGCCTAATCTGTGGAGGGATGTTAGTCCATTATACTTTTCCATCCCTTTCACTCAGACACACACACACACACACACACACACACACACACACACACACACATCCATTTCTATGTCTCTTTCCACCTCTGGTACTCTGCCTGGCCCACAGTAACATACTTACCGGTAGGCGTTTTGCTCAAACGCTTCTGCTGCAGGGAATCCTAACATGCCACAGACAACACGGCTGCTGCTCAGGTCCCATCCACGATTACATACATGACGCCACTTCCCAGCATGCTTCACTTCCAGCACTCCCTCTGTGACCAGACCGCCGTGGCTGCTGGACAACACTGGCCGCAGACGAGCCTCCTCTAAGTGAACTCTCTCAGATCCCTGTTGACAGGAAAAAACAGAACGGGCACTGATTTATCCCAAATAAATAATCATTGTTGTCTTTTTAGCTTCGCATCAACAATTCATTTAAAGGTTGACACATTGTCCTACTGTTTAAATAAGCATAAGCAGATAGCACACAATCAAGACAAGAATAACACGAGGAGATTCCTATGCGTTGTCTCTAATCATCCACATTAAATACTGTTGGCAGCAGGAAAGAAACTAACAGAGGTCGACAGAGTTTGTTTAACGTGTTGGGATATGTGTCATCGTGATTACAAAATGGTCAAGAAGTGTAAACTCGGCAAGTTGAAAAGAAGAAAAAATAAAGTCAAACAGCAGGGATAAATAGCAGAGTTTCCTCTGATCTAAAGTTTTTCCTTCAGAGGAAGAGCTATTGGTGGTTAAACTAAACTTCAGGCCATGGTAATTCATAAGAACTGGTTCTGGGGAAGGTCTGGTTTTAGGTTTGTCTCTAATTATACATGTCCACTGGCCTGTGGTTCCACAAATGACATTTCTGCAGAAGTCTGGCTAAAACTAGACTGGGTTGCTTCTTTGGTGTGCACTAGAGGCTGTGTGTATTGTGCGTGTGTGTGTGTGTGTTTACCTGTGTGTAGTATGCACCATTCTCCGCTCCTATGTCTGGATAAAGAGTTTCTGGTTCAACATGGTTCCCACTGAGCTGCTGATTCCTGTCACTCCTCCTCCCAGAGGGGATCTGGGATTCAGGCTGATATTGGGACTGCCTGTTCACCCTCTCCTCTTCCTGTTGTCTCCCTGCCTGTGGACTGCTCCGTGCCGTTTCCTGTCTTTGCCTGTAAGTTTCACCATTTGCCAGACGTGAAAGTAGCTGGTGCCCTTGTGGAGCAGCTGGGCTGACTTGGTTGTTGTCTCTTGAACCACCTCGATTTCGTCGCAAGATCTGGATCTCATGACCATTTTCTTGCGGGGAGATGTTGCTACGGCGGGAAGAGACTGGGTTGCGATGGAGAGCAATCTCATGGCCTCTTTGAGAGGCAGATGAGATGTGTGCTGGGCCTGGAGGTGGAGCTGGGGGCGACAGAGACTGTCTTGGTGACTGGTTTCTCTGTCTTTGCTGGTTGGAAGATGAAGGACTCTCTTCTACAGTCACAGCAGGGAAACCGGGTCTCCTTTCTGGGCTGCAAACAACTCCTAGATCCTCAGCATGGCTACAGTCATTGACCCCCCAACCATTGGAACGACATTCTGCAATAGAGGCCTCTGTGCCTCTGCAGCGCACATTGTCTAACCAGATCACACCTAACACAAGAAAGAGTGGCAAGTCATCAAATAAAGGGAAATCAATCAAGAGACTTGTATTTTAAAGCTTCATATTTTTGGCTGGACCTACCTTGTCCTTGGCCAAACCTGGCACTGTGTGCCCAGGTCAAGCTGCGCTGGAAGCCCAACTGCCGGCATATCACATTGGCCAGGTTAAGATCTACCTCATCATCACACACAGTGCCCCATGCGCCATTGTAGAGCACCTCCACACGTCCTTCGTTTGTACTGCGCCGGTTTAAGCCTGCAAGGCGTACATGGACCTCCTGGTGCATAAAACGAAGGGGGGCAGAGGAGAAGCAGGACAAGGAGCGTAGACAAGGAGCTGAGCCACCGCATCCTGGTAGGGGGGAAAACAAAGAGTGAAACACAGGCTGATAGAAACATCAGCCTGACATCAGCTCAAAAGAGCAAAGCAGACAAGATGCTTGCAGCTCCCAAAATAAATGTGTATGTTACCACAAAAATCTTCAAAATAACACAAAGCCATGGAAGTCACATTCCATAGTCTAACAGAACGTATAATTAGAAACCTTTTCTTCAACCCTAATGGGACATTCCACAGTAAAATGAAAGATTGATAGATGTTTTTATCCTTTAAAATAATCAGAGTCATTTAAAGTACAGCGGGAGGTTTGAGAAACAGCCTGAACCAGTCAAGGCACAGGGAGTAATAACCGGAGCTAAAAGTAGCTTCTGCATCCAGCCAACGGAAATTCTGGCTTTCCGCAAACCCTCAAGTTTAGTTGCACGTATTAGGCCAACAGACACATAAGCAAATAAACATTGTCATAAAAATGCTCTCACACATAAATAGAGCAGCAGGTCTCCATCTGTGCGAGATGCTGTAGTTAATGAGCAATAATTACAGCCTCTAAAATGTTTGTCTTCTAGCAGAGTAGCTAACTAGTGGTGAGGAGCAAGCTGTGAGGAGAAGGTCTAGAGGATGATAGAAACACTTTATGGATTTAGGAGTCAGACAAATTCTGCTTTGTGTATGGATCATGGGCCCTCATACAAATGTTGACTGAGGATGACTTCAATTAGTTACAGAGATGAAATTTTCAGTTATTGAGGAAAAACACAATGAGAAAAAATGAAATAAAAAATAAACAGAAGGAGAGGAGAACAAAATAAAAATGCTGGAGAAAACTTACCTATCTGTTGATCTCAGCCTTGAGCTTCTGGAGGAAAGAAAGGAGAGCACTGGGGCAGTGAGCTTGGTCCTGCTGTCTCTATTCTCCTCTTTCCCTCCCTCTTTCTTCTTCTGTCACTCCCTCAGGTTGGCTCTCCATCCCTCCCATTTTATTCATTTAAGGAGTTTTTCCTTCCTCTGGTCACGTTTCTGATTTCCAACACATACTGCCCGTCAAAGGAAATCTGGAAAAGGGAAACTGATCATGGAAATCAATGAAAACATAAACAAATCAATAACTTTTATTCTCTCCTAGTCTCCCAGTGCATGCATATGAATCAGAATACTTTATTAATCTCAGAGAAAATTATGTGGTTGCTCCAAATTGAATATATGCTATATATTGCAGCAGGTGGGTAAACTCCCTGGTCTGGTCACATGTTTGGCTCACTTGACACGTGAGCTTGAATTATAAAAGCCTGTAATTTTTATAAGAATCTCTAATCCCCCCCCAGGCAAACATATATTCCAGTCAATGGATGCTTGTTTTATTGTGTGTCAAATCTTACACAATTCTAAGTCTCAATCTCATTACTTTTACTCTTACTTGTTTGCTTTGTGAAGTCTTTTATTCCATGCAATGATAAAATCACATGTTCTCTCTCTCTCACACACAAGCCTGGCACCCTGCCCTGCCCACAGTTGGCGGTGTCATAAAATAAATACTATGTGCTCTGCAGTGCGAGTGAAGCTGCATGTCTGAACTCTTTGCATGAACTTGAAGTTTCATAACATCCTCAGTCGTGGCACCTCATTACGTGAAGAAAGTTATCTCTAAGAATAGAGTCAAATGGCAGCCCTGTGATTTTATAAAAAAAAGAGCAGATAATCCCAAAGAGGCTTTAGTGCTTAAACACTTATGAAGCAGCAACTTCAAATCTTTGCATTAACTACTTAACAATCCATAGAAACCTTTTCCTTTTATGGAAATGGTAAATGTTATTATGTATGGATTAATTCTTTTCTGGTTTATTAAGGGCTGTGTTTTAATCCCCCTCTTTGTTGAAATAACAATGAACGGCTAGTCTTTATAACACATTTCATATAAATATCAACAGCATCAGACATTTTTATATAATCTGGAATGCTTGCTGAAGTTCATTATTTTTAATTGTTGATAAATTTAAATGGAAGACTAGAAAAAAACAGCAGCTACTTGTATCTGTATTTAGCATGTAGTTTATTTAACATTGTGTTCCTGCCCAACAACTGTTGATGGAATTTAGTTAGTAGCTAAATTTGGTCTTATGAGATCAATGTTTGTGGTCCCTGAAAATAAAGAATAAAAACTAAACTTTGTGTAACTCCACATCTAAGACTATGTGTGAAGCCTCTGTGACTGCAGACATAGTCCCCCCCCCCCAACATCTTTTCCTGCCGATTCACCATCGGTTTGTGCGGGGAGGCCACAGTTTAATCTGTGGTTAGCATGGCCTCCCTGACCACCATTTGGCTCTGTTTCTCCATAAATCACAAATATAAGACTTACCGAAACGTTTTAATGTGTGAGTCATTTTTATTTTTAGAAGTCGCCCCAGGCCTTGATGTTGTCCTTGAGGCAGAAACCAGGTCGCTGTGAAGCAACGTGAGGAGAGGGGAGACAATGAAGCTCAAGAGCTCTCTCTAGTGGAGGCAATGATTGATAGGAAGATTTTGCTGTAACTCAGACTGTTTCTGTGGCTGAAAACTGATGAATATGGCAAAAAGTTCCAACAATAAGGGTTCAAATAAAGTAAGACTGCAATGAAAATGTGATTATGCTTTCAAGCTATTGTGTGAAACAATATTCATTCTTTTTTGTCCTGGTTGTGCACATTCTTCGGGTTTTTTTTTATGTTCATTTGGTTATTGTCAAAATCCGGGGTCACAATATACCTAGGTCATGTCAAATATTTTGATATTGGCATATTTGAAGGCATATTTGTAAGGCCATCATGAACAGATGGTATAGGCAGAACTCCCTCACATAGGACAAATGCCGAAATTAGTGAGAAAATAAAGGTTCGGGAGCAGCTGGCTCATAACATAACAAACCAAGGCAAACAATGTTAAAAGAAATTAAAGAAAAGTACCAAGTTTATGAGTGAAAGACAGAGTGAAACACTTATGTCACAGGAGCAAACTGTAGTGATTAGTCAATCCAGATTGCTCATGGGTTGATATGTGCTTTGTTTTGTTATAAATGACAAAGTAATCAAATTTAAGGTGTTATAGAAACTTTAATGCATATGAACTATGCTTTTTTATACTGACTTCTCTTTTTCAATGGTTGAACTTTTAACTGGAACTTTTAACTGGAAAGTTCACAAGGCAGGAAATGGCACCAGAAAGGGGATTTGAATGGGGAACTGAGAGATTTTAATATTTGCTGGCACCTATGATTAGATTTACGACCACATTAGTACATGAAGATGTGGCGCACTCAGTACCTGTTATTCATCCACTGCAGTGAGTTACATTTATTTATTAACAGCAGTCTATTTAATTTATGTAAACAACTTTCCTATATTGAGACTTTTGCTGAAAAATGTAACACTTAAGAAGAGATTTGTCTGGTTTTATGAATATAATTGTCTGCAGGCTTGCCTGTCGCTATGTGCAAACTAATCTAAACAAGTCTTCTGTTTTGAATGAAGAGATGCTGGATTAAACTCATTTTAAACCACATCCACACACCTTATGTTTTATTTTCATAAATATTTGCTCACTCAGTGCTGTGGGTGTACTCAGAATGTATCTCCTTAGCACTACTAAAAATGAGGCACTGAATGACTGTTGTTCACTTCTCATTATAAATAAAACATGAGGAGTGCCTCATGTTTCATTTTGCACTGAGAATTTTCTTTAGATATCACAAAGTCTAAGCAATGGGATAATTTCAGTCAGGGATGTAAAGCCTGTGTGATGTTATTTGGCCATTATAGACATTAGCAAACGGGGAACATACAAACACACAAACACACAAACATACATATACCGCAATCTTTATAGTATGATGCTGTGATGGTGTTTCATTCTATGCTATGCATAAATTCCATTCAGTGCTCAACTGAACTGTCAGACGTATAAATGTATACAATTTTGGGATTTGTATACACTCTACAGATGTTGGCATTACACTGTCCTAATCAAATTTCATAACATCTCATCAAGATTGGTTCACTTGTCTAGGAGGAGATAGGGAACATATATACAGTACAGTCATTATAGCATGCTTCTGCAGGGAAGAGAGAACCAAAATTCATCTGCAGCGATTTTAAGGAACCATTAATTTCCTTGCTGTATATCCCACCAGGATGTACAGCATATCCTGGTGGGATATACAGCAAGGACATTGGAATGTCGCTCGGACTGGAGAATTGTATTTGGATGATAACAAAGAGAGGGAAGGTAGTCAGAACAGAGGGGATTGAACTACCAGAAGGCAACATTGCAGACCTAGAGGACAGCTACGAGTACCTGGGGATCCCACAGGCAAATGGGAACCATGACGAGGCTGCTAGGAAAGCTGTAACCACCAAGTACCTGCAGAAGGTCAGGCAAGTCCTGAGGAGTCAAATGAACGGTAAGAACAAGATCAACAACACCTACGCCCTGCCCATGATCAGGTAACCTGCTGGGATAATCACTCGGCCAAAGGAGGAGATAGAAGCCACTGACATAAAGACCAGGAAGCTCCTTTCCATGCATGGAGGGTTTCACCCCAATCCAGCAACCTGAGGCTGTATGCTGAGCAGAAGGAAGGAGGCCGGGGACTGGTGAGTGTCAGCACCACAGTCCAGGACGAGGCAAATACCTCAGGCAGCAGAACCCAAGATATAGGAGGAGGAACCGTCATGGAAGGACAAGCCCCTGCACGTATGTACCACCGGCAGATAGAGGAAGGTGGCCGACTATCCAGAAATCCTACCAGTGGCTGGACAAAGCTGGACTGAAAGACAGCACAGAGGCACTAATCATGGCAGCACAGAACAAGCTCTGAGCACAAGATCCATAGAGGCTGGGGTCTATCACACCAGGCAAGACCCCAGGTGCAGGCTGTGTAAAGATGCCCCAGAGACAATCCAGCACATAACAGCAGGGTGCAAGATGCTAGCAGGCAAGATACATGGAACGCCATAACCAAGTGGCCGGCATAGTATACAGGAACATCTGTGCCAGTATAAGGCCTGGAAGTCCCGAGGTCCAAATGAGAGCCTCAGTAGGGTGGTGGAGAATAGACCGAGCTAAGATCCTGTGGGACTTCCAGATACAGACGGACAAAATGGTGGTGGCTAACCAACCGGACATAGTGGTGGTAGACAAACAGAAGAAGACGGCCGTAGTGATCGATGTAGCGGTTCCGAATGACAGCAACATCAGGAAGAAGGAACACGAGAAGCTGGAGAAAGTACCAAGGGCTCAGAGAAGAGCTCGAGAGGATGTGGAGAGTGACGGTAACAGTAGTCCCAGTTGTAATCGGAGCACTGGGTAGGGTGACTCCCAAGCTAGGCGAGTGGCTCCAGCAGATCCCAGGAACAACATTGGAGATCTCTGTCCAGAAGAGCGCAGTCCTAGGAACAGCTAAGACACTGCGCAGGACCCTCAACCCCAGGGCTCTGGTTGAGGACCCGTGCTTGAAGGATAGATTGCCCGCAGGGGTCAGAGGGGAATTTTATATAATTTCTTATAGTTTTTTCTTGAAAAGCCTAGGGAGGGCCTAGCCCTGTCAGCCCATTCATACCAGCTGTCCCTGTCTGTACCTAACACTGTTTTCTTCTGTTTACAGTTTCTCTGAGCTGTGTCACCAGCACAGCAGGGGTGATCCGTGTGTCTGGATATGAGGGGGCAGATGTTAATGTTTCTTGTTCCTATAAGAAGCGATTTCAATCTTCCGAGAAGTACCTGTGCAAGTCAAACTGTGGCAAGAGTGATGTTCTTATCATGACGACACAACCGAAAAACAAAAAATACTCCATCTACGATGACACAAAGGCTCAAATCTTCACTGTGACGATCTTCAACTTGCAGAAAAGGGATGCAGGGGAATACTGGTGTGGCATCTCCTTATTTGGAAATGACATCTACGCTGAAGTCACAGTGGATGTTGGGCAAGGTAAATAAAATGACCTTATATAGTTATTTAGTATGTTGTAGTTTTGGGGGGTGGGGTTCTCTGACAACAGATGGATTTGTCAAAAGTAGCTAGAGCACACTGGAGAAGGTTTTCAAAACAAAGCATTGACAAATTTTTTTTGCACTTACATTAGTGACACTCGTCAGCTTCAATAACATTTGAGCAACATTTGACCTTTCTGCACTTCATGTGTCACGATGAAACAGAGGTTTCTCTTTCATCGTGAAACATGGAAGGAAGCAAAGGATACACACAAAAATAAAAAGTAATACAGTACAGATATAAGCATGTTGCTTGGATAAGAGTCAGCGCACAACTTTGGATGACAGGATAAAATTAAATGTGAAACTTGTTTTAGTTTTTTGACATCTTTTTCTTTGCATTTACTTAGTCTGTATTTTAGCTTGTGACAATTTTTGATGTTTATCTTTCTGACAGACAGCTGCTGTAACAGTGTGACCAAAATAAAAAGCTATAAAGAAGATTCAGTGACCATCAGTTGTCCTTACGAGTCTGAGTACCAGAACAGCCTGAAGTACATCTGCAGAGGAACACGGCCCTCCACATGTCTGCAGCAGGCACTGATCACCTCTGACAACAAAGAAAATGGACGATTCAGACTTGATGATGACACAGTGTTAGGAAAATTTACAGTGAGCATTACCAGACTGACCAGAAGGGATTCTGGTTTATACCTTTGTGGTGTCCAAAGAAACAGTGGACGAGATGTTTTCTCTGCTGTTGAGCTTCAAGTCAAAGGTGAGAAAAAAAATGTTGCTGTACAGTAAGATTTATGTTCTCCTAGATAGCTCTTTTTCTTTTGGGTTAAAGGGACTTAAACGTGATGTAAATCCTCATGCATTCAAAATTTCAATGATTTGTGATTATAAAATAGGAGTGCTCATTTAACTATTAATGAAATAAGGAACACAAGGTACCAAATGCTGATCAGTCTAGAGATTTGGTGCTATTTCTGCTGTTTAGACTGGAACATATGATATGTGGATATTACGATACTTCTGTGCAGATTTTATTCTCTTAAATATTTCTTTTCCTGCAGCAATTCACATTCTGGTTTACTTTCTGCCCGCACCTCTGGTTATAATGCTGATACCGACAGTGGCTTGGATCAAGGTTTATAAATGCACCAAAGTGAGAGGTAAAACACACATATGCACACAAACACATATATAGATTTGTCCACACACAAGCACTTTCATTTATTGTTTTCTGTGTTGCTCCAGCAGCTGACATCGCCATGAACAGAATCACAATAAACACTGAAGAAGCAGGAGACGTAAAGCTTAAGGATCATGTGAGAGGAAAATACACGAGACAGTATCAGAAGCATTTCGAAAGTGCAATGTTTGCTGCACCGTACTGGCGATTTAGCTTGCTTTGGCAGTGGTCCTGTAAATGTTACGTTTATTCTCAGGAACATCTTCCCACCATGTCCTCTAAAATGTGTACATTATTTCAATATTACATTTCTGTAGACTCCTATTTACTCAATTTAGGCTAAAAAAAATCAGAGAAATAGATGCACCTGGTGCTAGTGGGCCAAAGAAATATGTTATCATCAAGAAATTGTTATGCCACGTGTCCATCTTATTGTGACCTCTGAATTTCACTGCGAGTTTCCTTCGTCATTGTAATCTTTCCTTCTATTTGTTTTTTAGACTTGTGAAAACCAAGCTGTTGAGGTGTGTTTCAATTTGGGTTCTTCTGAGGAGCGGAACAACTGGCACATCTATGATAATGATGATGGTGATCATGTGTATGAAGATATCCCTGAGACAGAAGATATGTGTTTTACTTATGAACGCTAAAAGGACAGAACCAAAACAAACCGAACAGTATACAAAGCTGTGATCAAATATGTGGTCATATTAATGCCTTTAGTACTAAATGTAAAAACTCATCTTTATATCGGTCATAACCATGTCTCAGAAGTGCATATTTACATTAAACTATGACCTAATCTTATATTTGTTGTTTAGCCTGTCTTCTCCCAGCTGTACACCTGGTTACGTACATTGCCTGTAGTTATGGGTTTTCCTCTGATGTAGCAGTTTTTAACACTTATACTTCAAAGTAGTTCTGTTCGAGCCACATATTGTCAATCTTTTTAGAATACGTGAATGAATAAAGAATATTGTGGCTATGAAAAGGAACTGAAATGTAATTATTTATTTGTTTATTACTAATTACAGCAACACAAAAAATAACAGAGCCAAACAAAGACGTGTTGAACCTTTCAGTATCCTGACAGTGCTGAAGTGGTCGGGTATCGTTTACGGTGAGTCATGCACTTTTCCCTGTCGATGAACAGTGAGTGGGTTTTGCAGTTGATGTCTTTCTCCAACGCCATGCGTGACTCCTCCAGACGAGACAGGGACTCTCTGGCTTTGCTCAGCTTCTGCTGTAGAGATGCCAGAGTGGCATCAATCTGCTTCACCTCCCCTTCCAAACTACAGACAGAAGCAAAAAATCAGAGCAGCGAGAAAGACAAAGCAGTTTATTGTTTTGTGCATGCATACCTGAGTTGGGGTTCATCCCTGCACAGTTCCATGTTGGGTCTGAGGGAGCGAAGGTAAAGTCTGGACTGAGCTACTCGCAGTGGAGCTTCTTTGTTGTGAATGGCCTGCTGCAGAGCCACAATGTTTTTCTCCTGGGCACCAATTTGCTCCAAGATCTACACATGAGATAATATAATCAATCATCAACTAATAACCAGTCATTTACTCTGTCTGTCAGTTTATCCACCTGTTTGAGCTGCATATTGAGCTGTGTCTTGGCCTCATTCAGCTCCACACAGCGTTCGCTGAAGGCTCGGTCAACACTGGAGCACTGGACTCTCAGATCCTCAGCCGTGTCCTGCAGCACCTGCTCTACCAGCAATCTAACACACAAGGATTCCATTTGTTTAAAGCAAATAATAAATAATGAACCAGGATCAGTTTCAGATTCTGCTGCAGTATATGAACTAGTATGTGCTCTAACCTGAGACTGTTGGTAGCCTGTTCCTCCTGCACGGCCTTGAACAGGTTGTCTTGTGTAAACTTCGTCCATGATGGGTGGCTGGACACCCTGCAGCAAGTGAAAAAAGTTATCAGGACTGTTTCTCGTTTTTTCAAGGTTTATGTAATATCTCCAGCTGCTCAAACTCACTGTTCTTGCATGGCAGCTGAGCTGGGATGGTGCTGTGTATCTGAACTCATGTTACTGTGTCTTCCGCTGTGGTCATCAAAATGGTAGGCCTGGTACTTATCAGACCAGTCCATCTCTAAAGTGTGCTTGGCTTCTCTGTTCAACCTGATGCACAGGCACACATGAAATAAAAGTTTCTGTTTATAGTTATATAAATATTTCATGTTATGAAATTCTACGTGTTATGCAGTTTTACTCCGAGTAAACAGAGTTTCAAACTTACTTGATTTGACTGACAACCTGAGCTGTAGTTCTCTTCAGAAGAGCCTGGACACTCCTGATCAAGTCCACTTCCTGCAAAAGACGGAGTCATCTTACTGGTTAATGTGTTACTGCCATCTGCTGGATCTCATTATTAAACGTTTTACTCTGAAAATATTACAGTAAGAGTTAAGATCAGTTCAAATATGTTTAAATATCACTGAAGACAAGAAAAAGCAGACATTCTTAGTTTGATGAGGTGAAATCTGCCACTGCCAGTTGATCAGATCACACTAGTTCACATTTGCCATTAACTTAGGTGCGATTCTTTCCCTTTAATATGAAAAGCGTTATTCCAAAATAAAATATCAATGTGTCTAAAATATCCCATTAGCAGTAATTGGTCAAATATCAGATTAAATACATTTTTGAGAAAATGTATCCAAATACAAATTTCACTTATAATTATAATTATACGTTCAGATTTTTGCAAGCCCACACTTAGGCGATATTATTTTGGATCATGAAATATTGTCTATCACCTTGAACAACTCTTCCTCCACAGTGTCTCTGACCAGGTCAGCTCCCAGCCTTCTCGCCCTGCAGTTCAGGTTGTCTGTGGCGATAGCATAGGGAATCTCGGTGGCATCCAGCGCCTTCTCCAGCCGCGTTTTCAGCGCCACCAGTGACTCCGTGTCGGCCAGCAGCTGCTCGATGTGCCGCTGCAGCTCAGACTTCCAGTAGTGGATCTCTTGTAGTCTCTCTCCCAGACGACGTGTTCCCTCGGCCTGTGTCTTAAAAGTGGATGCATCGGTGTCTTGGTACAAAGTTCTGGACTCTCGCTGAAGGCTCGTAGCTTCGTGGCAGTCGGTACCGGCTTGTTGAAGTAAGCTTTGGTAGTTGGAGAACCATTCAGTCGGGGTGTATTTAGCCGAGCGGTACCCTGCTGTGGCTAAGCCCGAGGACGGCTGTGGGGCCGCTACAAGGTGATCTTTCTCCGGGACCCCCTGAGCTACAGCTCTGCTGTCATAGTGAGGTCGTGATACTACAACATCCGAGCACATTTTTTCTTAACAATTCAAATGGCCTGCAAGAAAAAAAGACGCGATTTATTTGGACTGATTAAAGCAGATTTAGTCCCAAATAAAAAGTAGCAGCACTAACATTAACAGTCCGGACCAAGCTGTAGGTTTGTTTGTTTGATGTTGCCTAGTTACACATGTTGGCTCAGATGACACGGCTAATCATCAAATGCCAGTATATAAAAAGTATATAATAATACGATAAATAATAATAAAACTCTGGGACCAATTCAGCGTATACCAGAAGAGAACCATTTAAATCTCTGTAGTATAGTATACAGAATTTGTTGTTTAGTTGCTAAATATAATATAATATAATAACCTTTTATTGTCATTGCACATTTACAACAAAATTATGGGTGCTCCAGGCTGGGTGCAGGAATAAAGTATAAATAGTAAGACAACAGGAATAAATAACAAACAAGAGAAATATATGCAATCAAGAGGAGTGCTTGGAAGTATTGCAAAGGATTTGATCTGAGTATAGAGTCATATGAGTGGCCTGAGTGATGAGGATTATTCAGACCATTGCTGCGGTGGTGAGTGGGAAGGGGTGGTATGTGGGGGGACTTTCTGATTCAGGACGGTGGTGAGGAAGCCTTTGATCCAGGAGCAGGTGGTCCAGTTTGGTGTCGAGGATGTCTGGGGTTATGGTGTTGAGCTTGAGCTGTGGTCCACGAAGAGCATCCGTGGCTCTTCCTGTTCTCAAGATGATGATTATTCGTGAAATTATTACGTTAAAACAGATGGTTAATTTGGAGAAACAATAAAATGCAAAAGAAGGAACTTTATCCCTCTTGGTACATAGTAGTTCCAAATATTTTTTAGAAAAAAAGGGGGGCAAATGATAATTAAATCATTTTCTTGGTAGAGGGAGACTTTTGGCACTTTATTTTAAAACAACAACTCCAAAGTTTTAGGCAGGTTATTTGCAGCACATCTTTAGAAATTCTAAATCTAAATACACAACAAACAAACAAACAAAAAAACGTTCAGTGGCAATTTTGACAAAATCTCCAACACCACTGCTGAAATAAGGCCCCTTGTATACGCAAGGTGTGTAATATGACGTATTGCCTCCTGTGGAGGTGTAATTTATCTGCTCATGGACTGCACATGTATCTGGATCTGTTGTTGCCTTGTCTCCTGGATGAGAGCCACCTGCAGTTCAGCAGTAGCTTCTGGCTGCATCTGCCTTTGATGAAAACGCGGACCCAGCATGTCCCCGGCATGTACAATATGAGACATATCAGGATGAAATTCTAGTGAAGGCAGTATTTGGATATACTCCTCATCCAAAAGCTATTGGCCTAATGAAACAGTCCCAGGACAGCAAGAATAGCACAAATACAGATGAAATTATTGACTTTTGTAGATAATTTACAATTTGGGTTTTCTAAAGTGTCACAGGTATGTGAAAATGTCACATGTAGGGCACGTCATTTAAGTTATATCAAATAATACAAATGAAGACAAACGTATCAGAAAAAATAGGAGATGAACATTAAATAAATCAAGAGCAACCATTTCACAACAATAAAACTAGTGGGGATTACAAACGATTTCAGTAATTGTATAGTAAATTGTGCTGCTACTGTCAAACAGAATAATCTAGTACTGGCACTGTTTAACTGTTTTTCTTATTAGAAAATTTTATTTCAACAGTATCTTCTGTTGTTGTGATTTTTTCCAGTTTGACCCATCTCTTCCTCACTGTGCTAAAAGGCACAATGCTGTTTTAAGGTCTGCCTTTTCGTGCACACCAAAAATTCACGATTTCCAGAAATTTAAAGAAGAACCAACAAAGAGCAAACAGCGGCTCGCCCCGTGCAAGGGCTGCAGGGTGTTAACGTGTTAGAGCAGTTAACTTCCCGTGCAGCCCCTCGCACGCGACGATCCGTGTGCGAGGGGCTAACAGAGATTTACCGTGTTAATGCTGTTATGGTGTTAACGTCATTTTAATGAGATTAACACTGACAGCACTAATTTCATACATTTGTATCCCTTGTTTGGACGCTTTTAATGCACAAATATATTTGATACCCAGCTTATCTGTCCTTGAAGCTGTATGATACACCTCTATTAGTTAAATTGCAGGAATTTCTTAATGGCATACAGGCCTGGATGACCTCTTATTTCCTGCTTCTAAATTCAGATAAAACCGAGTTTATTGTACTCTAAGGCCTGAAAATAATAGAAACATGGTGTCTAACCAGATACTACCTCTTGCCCAGTGTTGGCTGGGTTGGCTCCAGCACTGATGAGGCAAGCTCAGACATGAGTGGTCATCTGATGGTTAGTGAGGGAAAAGAAAAAAGAAGAAAGAAAACACTGTTAAGCAAAGAATAGTGGAGGGCATTTGTAATAGGGTTTATGACAGACAATGGACTTTAGCTTTTGTACATCTGCTGCACTCAGTTCCTCTTCCTCTGCTGCCTTGGGTGGATGTCTGCTTATGGGGACTTCAGCTTCTGAATACACACATCATAAGAAAGTTTTATGCCTTTTTTGCATGAAATTTCAGTGCATTGGTTTGTTGTGAATGCTATGGGTATGTTATGATTAAAAAATACCTTTCAATTTGTAATATTTGTACTTATGAACTATAACCAGGGCACACAGCAGTAGCAGTAGCAGCACAGAGCGTGCAGCAAAAACCACATAGACTGTGGCATCTGAAAAACAGAAGCCAAAACAGAACAGAGTAAAAAAATACATCAATTTCAGGACTAATACCAAATGTTTACCATAATGTGGAAACATAGTTTACCTTTAATAGACTTACCGGGGACATCTGTTGAATTTGGTCCTACGATTTCCAATATAGTGGTAAAATTTTCAGTGGTGGTGTGCTGCAGAAAGACTGCCAGAGGAAAAATACTTAGCTAATTTAGTTTAAGTCCACATAGCAACAGGCCTCTGTGCTTGGTAGCATTCATATGTCAGTTGACCGGTTCAAAGTTTTGAATCACACTGAAGCTATTCACTCAATTTACTTCAGATTTATAGCTACTTACTTCTTATAACAAAATATCCAACATATTGTACAACATTGTACTATAACATGGTATATTAAGTCACTGAGATATGCTGTTTGACTGGAGTTAAATAGAAGAGAAGAAGAGAATAGAGGAGAGGAACTGCTGATGTAAAGGTTGATGTAGAAGGACAGGTATCAGTGACTAGATTAAGCAGCCCTTATGATCACCAGCACCAGTTCAAAGACTTCATGCTCAGTTGCAAACAAGACTCTAAGCAATGCTGTGAAAAGCTAAGTATATGGCTTGATTATACAGCTTCTAGAACAAACCTGAGCAGCAAGAACTTGGAAGTAATTGTTTTCTGTATGACTGATGATTGTGGAGCAATATTGGCCCACTCTTCTTTTGCTTCAGTTCATTCAGGTTTGCAGGGATTTATTTATGCACAGCTCTCAGATCCCACCATGACATTTCAATTGGATTAAGGATTAGACTATCTGTTGCAATTACTGGCTTTAATGTGCTGCAAGTGGTGAAATGATAATTTCATGATTTTTAAAACTGTTTTGTTTAAACAACTTTTCTCTATTTAGTTTTTGCATACAGTGTACAGTAGTGGTATGGATAATGATTTGATAAGATGAGCTAAAACAAGGTGTAAGAATATCTCCCCCCAACGCTGCCAGGAGCCGCTCACCAGGTAGAAGCTGTAAGTAAGAAAGTTTATCGGCTGTTGAAAACAGTTTGTAATATATATTCAAAATATTCAGAGCTGTGTGAAACCATACACTATACTTTACAAGCTGCTGGCTTGTGGTTTTCAAGCTTATGTTTTCTGCCTATGTGACGAACAAGCAGTTGCAGGGTTTATGACAACAATCCTCCATGATACCCATGAGCCTTGGGGGAGGGCGCGGCTACATGCAGATATCGTGCTAAGAAGTCTGTGAACCTTTTTTAGCACATAAACCTAGATAATTTAACAAGCAGATAGGTTCAATATCTGATAAGCTTTGCATGAAAAAAAAGGGTTGGCTTTATTATTTGGGCAAGAAGATGTTATCTCTGTGTCAAAGGCAGCATCACATTTGGTTTGCGGCACTTCTATTTTAGCAGAAGTTTGTTTCGTGTGAATGCTATGCAACTATTTTTCACATGTCAGATAAGAGAACATAGAAATGGTGCTAGTATAGTAATAATAATATGTTGTTTTATTCATATTTTACATCTTATGCTTGTTATGCCTGCTTATCTAGCAGATAGATATTTTAACAAAGGCAAAATAGCCACAGATTACAGGTCTATAGAAGTTTGATTAGTTTAACTAATCTAATAAATAAATAAATAACTAGTCAGGAAACCAACAGGGCCCAACATTTCTTGCTCTGTGTAGTATTGTTTTGTCACTATTCTGTGCACCTATTCTATTCGTAGCGTGAAACCCATTATAATTGTTTTTTTTTATTTTTTATTTTCTAATGACATTAGAACTGCCAACAACAGCCCGTGTTTGTACAGAGGGGACCAAAAGGAGGAATTTACAGCTCAATTCACTTTGTCCACATCTACACATGTTCATCTTACCCACTGACAGTTGAATCTTAGTGTAGTTTCCAACTCTCCACTGTGAGTCTGATCCACACCAGTATGTCCCAGCATCAGCTGCTTCCAGCTCTGTGATCCTCACCAAGAAAGAGTTGGAATAAGCATCATCTTGCAATGTGAACCTCCTTTGACTGGTTACGTTTGTGCAATTGTTGCGATGGTCTCCCTTACAGAAAAGCTTCTTGTAATCCCAGTTTTGTGCAGGATAAGGACACCACAGAGTTAGTGGATGTCCTACTGTGCCATTTATTTTAATTGAGTTGAGACAGCACCACTCTGTCAGATTGAAAGACAAAAGATATTCAATACTCAAAAAATATTAAACTTTCTTGGAGAATGTTTGACAGAAACCAGTGCCATCTTAGGGCTGATGTAATGAGGTATAACTAAGACCTCTCACCTTGGACTTCCAGCTCAACATAAGTGAAAATGTCCAGTTTAGAGTTTCTGTGGACACCACAGAGGTATGACCCTGAATCATTTTGAGTCAAATTGTTAATGTTCACTGTGAATGTTCCTGACACTTTGTCATCATCAAGTGTGAATCGTCCATTTGATTTGGTGTCAGAGGTGATCAGTGCCTGCTGCAGACATGTGGAGGGCCGGTTTCCTCTGCAGATGTACTTCAAGCTGTTCTGGTACTGAGACTCATATGGACAACTGATGGACTCATAACCCTCATAACTTTGGATTTTGGTCACAGTGTCACAGCAGTTGTCTGTCGAGAAAGTAAATATATCAGAAGATGTGCTACTGCTACAGAATAGCTAGAAGAGACAGGTTTGTATTTTCACGTCATTCAGACTCTTTTTACATATAGGTATGCTCTCAGCCATCACCCTTTCTATCCTGAATTTACAGTTTTCAGACTTTAAATTCTTAAATCATTTTCAGTGCAATCACATTATAAAACTTTGTAAGATGTTTTATAAAGTTGCATTTTTTCCCAACAGCTACTATGCTTCTATGACAGTTTAAATTTATTTGTATTTGTAAATGTATTTGTATGTATATGTTGTGTAGGCGTATTTACAGTGTTGTTACTGTTCTTCAGAGGTGGTAAAAGTAAAGAGTGTCAACTAGTGTTGAAAAATACTCCAGTAAAAGTTGAAGTGCAGATTCAACTTATTTAAGTGCACCCTATTGTACTTAAGTACAGCTACTTCCCACCTCTGCTGTTCTGTACACATTGACATTTGACCCCAATGATGTCAACGGTCACATTTCTATTTGAGACTTCTTTATCTACTAATACTATTATCCTCAAACTGTTGTCATTATCTTCAACTTCATTCATTATGAATTGTACTCACATTCAATGTACAATTAAATTTTGTCAAGCCTTTATTTACCTCGGACTAATTCCAGCTTGACTTCAGTGTAGATATCGCTTCCAGTTCTGGTCACCCCACACCAGTATTGCCCAGCATCCACAGAATGAAGATCAGAGATGGTTGTTGTGAAGATTCGTGTGGTTTTGTCATCATGGATCCCGTATTTGTTTATCACTGGATTTGATGTTGTGATAAGAACATCATAACTGCCACAGTCATTCTTGCACAGGTACTTTTCATATGATTCATAACCCTCATCATAGGAGCAGAAAACTTTAACCATACTCCCCAAATATCCAGTCACATGGATCACCTCCACTGCGGTGGTCACACATCTCAGAACAACTGTAGAAATAATGTGAAAACATTATGCTTTGTCAGCTTTCATACGAGTAATGTAAGTGCTTTTTTATAAGAAATAAACTAACCCAACAGAGTGTGTGGTGGAGTGTGCTCCATAATTCTAAAACAGATAAATGTACTATTTAATCTACACCTGCCTTTAATCTTTGTATGTTCACTTATCTAGTCATTTAAACAACTTACTGCAGAGGGTAAACAGCAGGTTATGAAGGCTCCACATCTTTCCTTTGGCTCATCTAAATAGAATTATGCGCACACAGTGGTCATTTCAGTCAGAACTAGACTGTCAGCACATAGGGGATGGAACATTTTAGATGGCCCTTCCTTTAAAGGCGTTTCAATTATTTGTCTAATAGCTGACATGTGCCATCTAGTGGTGGAAGTATTTAGAAGCATTACATAAACAGCACAATGAAAAATTCACAAAAATTATTTAAGTATATTTTGGAAACTATACTTAAAGAATTGAAAATCCAACACCTTCAGTACAGAAAAATGACCCATTTGAGGTTTATAATTTCTTTTTATTATTACTCATACCGAATTTCCCAGAGGAACCCACCCGAGGGATTAATAAAGTTTTATCTTATCATATCATGTATTAATACGAAAGCAATATTAATCTGCTAATTGTGCTTTGGAAATGTTTTAATAATTGATCACCATATTGGTTTATTCTCCCTTACAGAAGCCTGTTTAAAGCAGGAGGACTATATTAGATTGAAAGAACAGCCATGAGTCGCACTAATTTTCAGAATCGTTGAAGCACAGGGCTGGGGAGGTGGTGTGAAGATTTTAAAATAAACTACAAACACCTGGTGAGGGTATTTTTTGAATGGGTTTAATCACACGTTGCAACATGGAGATTGCACTCTGGTCAAATGCCAAAGTGGTCTCTGAAAATGGATGCCACACTGATCTCTTATGTACAACACACAGAAAAAGATATTCCACAACTCTTACATGTTGCCATCACATTATCTCACACGCATATACGTTTAGTTCAGTTTATCCTTGAAACCAGGAGAATTACGACCATGCTGTCACCTCCCTACCTCACAGAGACGAACACCAGGCACCCAATGCCTATCTATCCAACACCCTGGATGTCTCTGGCCTACTCACACTGTGTGTGGAAGGTCTCACTGTGTGTGGAAACACAGATGTGAAGCTTTCCTATATGTATATAACTATGTGACAAGGTGATACTACTATTACTAAGGGATGAAAGGCTGACACTTAGCCTTGTGCTCTCTAACTGAAAACTCAAAAACCAGCTTTATGTTTAGAATCTATCATTCTCGTGGCTTTTACTTAAATGTTCTATCTGAATAGTTATTCTTTTATCTGATTTTGTGTGGACGTCAAGTAAATGCATCACTTTGTAAAACTCTGGATACTGTGGCTCCTCTACACATCTTCAAAGCTTCAAAACAGAAGACTCTCTGGTGTTTAATGCCTAAAATGTTAGCAAAAAGTTTAGCACTATGGCTAGTGTGAAATATCTGCTACGTAATTTTTTATATTTTACAGTTACATGCTGTGACATGCTTTCTGCTACAGTCATTTCACAATTTCACAGAAAGATTCTAAATCATCTTTTGTCAAAATGAAAAATTTAATTTTCTTTCTTTTCTTTTTTCCCCCTGCCTGTCCCGTTTGGAGCTCCTCTCTGCCTATGCTCCAGGAAAAACCACGAGGTCTAGCTCAAAACTAATGCTGTCCATCCCACGGACTAATCTCAAATGCCGTGGTGATATTTCTTTCTCTGTGGCAGGTCCCAGACTTTGGAATAGTCTGGGATCTGCACAAACACTTGAGCAATTTAAATCATTACTAAAGACACATTTCTATGCCCTGGCTTTTAACACACTATGACCCAAGCATTTTGGTTTTATTTGAATTAATTTAGTTATTGTTTTAATTATTTTATTGTCCTATTATTGTTTTTTATTGTTATTATTGTATTACATTGTTGCTTTTAAATGCCATTTTTATATTGTTAAGAACTTTGTGCAGCATCGGCTGTTTGAAATGTGCTATATAAATAAATTTGACCTTGACCTTGGATCTTTTGCCATCAGAATTATTGTCTAAAGGCCAAGAAAGATGCCCAAAGGATTCACTTTACCAAGTGGACCATCCCGGCCTTGCTATATTGGCCCATTTGATTGACCTTTGTTTTTATTGTTTATTTTATTTTATTTTCAGTTGTTACATAGGGCAGAGGTCCCCAACCTTTTTTGCGCCACGGACCGGTTTATGCTCGACAATATTTTCACGGACCGGCCTTTAAGGTGTCGTGGATAAATACAACAAAATAAAACTAGTACCG